TTCTGTAGCTGCTTCATGGTTCCTTCAGGGTTCTGTAGCTGCTTCATGGTTCCTTCAGTGTTCTACGGCTGCTTTACCTCCTGAACCTCCTGTTCCAGAGTCCAGGGGGTTCTTGGGTTCCTTCAGATGGAACCCAGCTCACATGTGATTTCTGTCTCCAGTGTCTGAAGACGCCGTCAGCGTCGTCGCCGTCGCTCAGGGTTTGACGTCGCCGTGGGAACCAAACAGCACCCCGGACCCCGACCCGACCTGCGACCCGACTTGCGACCCCTGGCGCGCCCACCTGGACCTGCACCGGCGCTGCTGCCCCGGAGGCCTGACCCGGCCGCCCTCTTCCGACAGGTCAGACGGGTTCTCTCTGGTTCTGCTTTAGAACATGGAGCTGCTTCTTGGTGTGTTTGGTGGTTCTTCATCACGTTGATGTCTTCGGACTGACGACACCCAGAGTTCAGATGGAGTGTCACGGTTCTGAAGCTGCTCCGGAACCGGACGCCATCCTGATGAGGTTCTAGCAGTTCTGAACATGTTTTGAGTCATTTCAGAGTTTCTGTGTAATTTGGGTCACGCTGTTAGTCGTTCTGGACACGTTCTGGTTCCATTTCAGGTCATTTTGGACATTTATTGTGACTTTGGACCATTTTTTGAGTGATTCCTGACAAGACATCTTGTCATTTTTTAAACAGGTTTGAAGTGTTTGTGGTGTTGTTTTGGACATTTGTTGTAATTTTAGATTAATTTTAGGTCGTTTTGGATGTTTAGTTGTAATTCTGAAGACATTTTTTGCCATTTTTGACAAATTTGAAGTCAGTTGTTTTGTTTTTCGTAACTTGGGACAACACTCGAGTCGTCCTGGACGGGTCAGAAGCAGTGTTTGACATCTGAAGTCATTTTGGATAAACTGTTGGTCAGAAAACTGAAAACTCAGCAAAGTGTAAAAACTACAGAGTTTTACTAATTCTGCCTGATAAGTTGTTGGAGATTTTTTTAAATAAGAAAACGTGTTTCTGACCCGTCGTTGGGTTTTGGGGCTCAGTGGACCAGCACCAGAATCGAAAGCTGAAAGCAGACGAGTCGACGTTCAGACGACATGCAGCAGAACAGTCAGAACCACTGGAGCTGCTCTTTAGGAACGGGTTCTGTCACCTTTAATCCATACGTCACTGTCTCAGCGCTGTTTCTGCGTCGTCAGCTTCCTCGTATGTTTAAACCTAAACCAGAAGTCATTCTGATGAAATTCAACTTTTTATTCTCACTTTGCTGTTATGTAGAAGAACGGGCTGACGAATGGTCAATAACTGCTCCAACAGTCATTTTACAGATGTTCTGGTAAAATCCCACAAATATTTAATTTACATTTTAATTGTTTTGTTAAATTGCAGATAACTATTAAAATCGCAGAAAACTTGTTAATTTACACACTGACTGTGAAAACCAAACCAAAGCTGTGAATACCGTCACGTCTAACATCTGTTTCTACAAACAGTCATTTGTTCTTGAACCATGTGTGACCTCAACATCAGTCTCACTGGATTTAAATCTGCTGAAAGTCGTTGTTTTACAGACGTTAGCTGCTAGTTTCAACATTACACCATGTCCACCATCTGTTGCTTCCAGGTTTCTTAGTTCTGTTGATTCTTTTTACTGATGTTTTGGTGTCACGTGATGCTGACGTGTTTCTGCTGCTGTTCCGTGTTCTGCTCCGTCTTTGTGTTCCTGCTCGTCGGTTTGGACAAATCTGATTGATTTGTTTTTTTGTTTTTTTTCTCGGCAGCTGTTCAGAGTCCGGAGACAGAAAACTGTCGGCGGGTTCGGATTCTCTCAGCAGCTCCAGAGACGAGAACCGCCTCCCCGCCGCTCCAGACGGGTCCAGAGACGAGCTGCGTCCGGACCGCCGTGACGGTGGCGGCGGCCTGCAGAGGGAGCTTCAGCCCCGCCAGCAGGAGGCCAGCGGCGGCGTCCTGCAGAGCAGCGGCTCCAGGAAGGTCCTGAGCAGGCAGCAGAGCGCCGGCTGCTACCCCTTCCCCAGCAGGAAGACCCCCAGGATCTCTGAGGCCGCCCGCAGGCTCGGCATGTACTCGTCCTTCTGACCAAGTCACACAACAAGCAGCTGCTGATCAGAGTCTCATCTGAATAAGTCACCACGACAGAGTCAAGGCTACAAACGCTGCAAATAAAACCTGTGAAGGTCACGAGTGAGTCAGTTCTGATTGGAGCTGTGGCTGACTGCAGTCGATAAACCAAAACACACAGAGTCCCACTAAAAGCAGGGAACGTTCCCACCGCAGAACCTACAAGTTCTAATCATTTTTAAAAGTACAGTTGTGACTCGATAATCCGACACTAAATGTAAAACCTTCTTCTATGTCGATATCAAGGCTGTCGGATTGTCCAGACGGAGGTCCAGATACGAGGAGGGCTTGATGCTGGAAGGCTCATTAGTTGTTCATTATTGTTCATAGTTGTTATAATAACTAGTGTGTTGTTAGAACACTACACATCGCTGGACTTCAGCCTAACTGACCGGTGCTCTGTGCATGTTCCGCCCACTTCCACCCCGGGGCAGCGCTCTGACGGGGTGGAAGTGTCCAGAACACACAGGCAGTACTTGGCTGCTGATGCTAGTTTAGTTAGCGCTCACACTTCTGTTTCCTCCATCGGTGGCGGCGGGGGAGTGGCAGATACGCTCCACCGTTACCATCCATGTTTACTTCCATAAACACTGAGCACGCTCGCTGCGTGTGACGTCGTCGTGTCCTCTTGTGCGCATGCGGGACACTTTTGGCTCGTATGAAGTTCACACAGCAGATCACATACAAGTCGCATTGAAGTGGAAACGTGAAGGAAGTCACAAAGAAATCCTCATTGAGCATCAAGTCCTGCAGTGTGAACGTAGCCAATCTGTGGGATTGTTCAGTCAGATAATACGCCGTCATCCTGATTGGTGACATTAAATGTCATGTCGGAGTCACAATCCAAGGCTGTCGCTATGTTAAGGCTGTTTTTATGGGTTCTGCTGGTTTTTCCTACAAACCTGTCGGATAGCAGGTTTAGGATTGTTAAGGGTCGATTATCGAGTCACGAGAAGGTTTTAATCAAATATTCAAAGAACATCTTCATAACATTTTAATTTCCAGTAACGTTCCCTTAAAGTTAAAATAATGTTTTAATGTCAGCGTTCAGAGGATGTTGTCAGGAACACACGTGGTGTTCTGTGATGACAAAGGAGGAACGTTCTACCAACATCCAGTAAATGTTCCGTTTCTGGGCCACCGGGTCGATCCTGCCGGTCTCACATGAAGCCACTAAAGTCTGAGTACAAACAGCTCATTAAACCAAGATGAAACGTTCCTGTACTGTGACAATTCAATGACAGTGGAACGTTCTACCTTTAAAGTTCTGAAGATGTTTTTTAGGGAACATATAGAACGTTCTGTTATAAAACATTCTCACAATGTTCTCTGAAACAAAGAACATCTTCAAACAAACATTTCAAATCATTTTAGGCCTCAGTTGACAGAATGTTTGTTTATCCAGAACGTTTTATTAAACGTTCCTGTAATGCGATGAATTAAAGGAGGAACATTTTCGCTGAGGAACACATGACAGAACGTTCCTCTGCAGAACATTTCTACCATCAAGCACAAAGTTAATCAGAGATGTGTTCATTAGTGTTCCATTTTCTGTCATCTCATTTCTTTTAAGTTTTATTTTTTCGCGGTGGGTTTTCTATTTCATTATTTGAATATTTTATTTGAATTTATTTCTTAAATTTTATGACGGCTTACTTTATTTTCTCATGTTTGTTATCTTGTTCTGTTTTATCACATCTAGTGTTTTAGTTTCATTTAATCATTCTTGAAATTTAGCGTTATTTTATTTTTTATTTGGGTGTTTTTTTGTTTTTGTTTTTTTACATTAAATTTAATGCAAATAAATTTTAGTGCATTTTGTCTTTTGTTTCATTTCATCACTTTGTTGTTTTTTGATCATTTTGGGTGTTCTGATTATTATTATTATAATTATTATTATATTGCTCAGTTTTATTGCATTTGATCCTTTTGAATTATTTTGTGACTGCTGATTCTATTTGATCACATTTGGTTTTTTCTTTAGTGAATATTTTTTGGCTAATTAGTTTTGTTTTATTTGATCATTCAATTTAAATTTTTAGCACAATTACTGTTTCATTTTATCACTTTGGACATTAAATATTATTTTTAAATAATGATTTTGGGTGTTCTAATTTTATTTTGAATTATTTTTATTTTATTCTGTTAGATAATTTAATTTAGTTAGTTTAATAAGTTGAATATACTTTTTTTTATTTAGTTAATTGAAATAAAATACATTTCATTTAGTTAATTTAATTTAAGTTAAGTTACTTGTCTCGCTGTGGATTCAGAGGAAAACGCGGAGCGCTTGACCCTCGTCGGGCGCCGTAGTGGTTCGAAGATCGTCTATTTGGGGGAGGAGCCTCCTGCTGCTCTCTGACGGAGCCGCAGCTCTGGTGCTGTTTTCCGGTGACGTAGTGACGCCGTCGGATCCTGAAACGTGCGCGGAGTGAGCGCTCTGCTGCGTCTCATCACATCATTCCCGGAAACAACAGATTCCTGAAAACAACATCATCCAGCGCAGCGAGCGGAGCGTTAGCGGACTTTTAACCGATACTCGAACCGCGGAGCCGCCGGTCACCGTGACCCCCGACACCGAGGTAACTCACGGGAGCACTTCCCGCCCACAGCGACCCGTGACAGGCTCCGGTCCGAGCATTTGTCCGCTGTACGGACGGCTAACCGAGCTGCTAGCTGCAGCTAGCTGCAGTCGGACCGAGTGAAACGTCAACCTGTTGGCGTCACTTCACCGGACGACACGTTTCGTATCAACCAGCAGCTTCTGACAGACGCGCTCACGTCGGTGAAGTTTAGTGAGTTTCGGTGAAGCTTCACAAAGTGTCCCGTTGGTTAAAGCTGGAGTTTAGTGCGCGTCCAGCTCCGAACCACTACATCTCCCAGAATGCAGCGGGGCACAATGATTCGACTAAACAGCTAATTAGGGGATGTGAAGTTCTCAGACTGGACCGGACGCACAGAATCCGGGTTGAACCACAGCAGCTGGTGTTTGATGAGCATGCAGCTGTGGGAGGGTCCGTGAATAGTGGCTTAAGAGACGAGTGGGTCCAGAAGTTTCACACAAACCTGAATCCATCAGGATCAGGACCAGGACCAGGATCAGGATCAGGCCTGGTGCTCCTCTGGTGAATGTAGTTAAACAGCCAAAGGAGGGAAAAGTGAAAAGTTCATGTGTATCCTGAGCTGCCCTGTAGCTCCTCCATGGACCACAGAACTTCACCACCAGCTCCTGTGGTCGCTGTGTTCCTGCAGCTCTGTGACCGTCTGGGATCTGAAACCTTCATGTGTCTGTAATAACCAGCGCTGCTCTCTGTGCTGCTGCCGTTTAGAAAAAATAAAATAAAATCTACAAATGATGGAGTACCTTAATGTTCAGAAACTAGCAGAGAAACAGTGAAAATAAAGATATATTATTAATATATATTTTATATTTTTATGTGTTTACTAGATATTACCGGTAATTTAACAAAACAAAGAAAATATGTAAAACAATTTTCCCTTCAAATAACAGTATGTGTCTGTAAAATACTGTTTCTGCTGATTTAAATGCAGTAAAACAGTAATTTTACAGTCATATTGTAAAAGAACAAACAAGTGTTTCTAATAACAGACTGAAGTGGATGTTTTTTACAGTTTTGGCCCGTTTGTTTTGCTAGTTGTTGTTTTGTACAGTTAACTAACAAAACAGAAAATGTGTAAAGTTAAAGTGAATTGTTCAAAACATAAACCTGTTAAAACTCCAGCTTTCTGAACACGTCACGGTGGGTGGATCTGATGTTGCTGCTCATGAACACTCGTTCACCTGAACCTGAGCAACTCACCTGACGGCTTCAGGCTCCTCCTCCTGCTCACTCGTGTCTCGTCGTTGTTTCCAGGGACGATGGCGGAGCAGAACACGGAGGCGAAGCTGAAGAACCTGCTGAAGCAGGAGAAGATCCAGCTGTGGAACCCCCCGTACACCGACGACGACAACCAGCAGCAGAGGCAGCAGCACATGCAGGTCGGTCAGCGGTCGGTCAGCGGGCCGCTGGAGGCTCGGTCACGCCCAGGAAACAGGCTCTGGTTCTCGTTTATACGACCATTAAAGATAAAAACCTTGAAGCTTCTCTGGTATTTCTCGTCATGTCACTGATCCAGAATCTGTAACATTGGACAGTAGATCAGTCATCTGTGATTGTGGGTGACGCTGGAGCTTAAACCCCACGACCACAGTGAAGTATTTAAACATACTGTGGTTCTTAGATCTTGTTCCACATCTGTTTTGCCGTGTTTCGTGTTCAGGAGCTGGCGGATCGATACGCTCCTCTGCTGGGTCTGTCGGCGCCGGAGGTCGCCGTCGCTCTGGAGTCGATCCGAGTTCTGGCGGTGAAGAGAGGAAAAGGAAACCAGATGTTCCGAGAGACAAACGTGGCGACGCTGGAGCTGCTGCTGCCCCGAGACAGCAAGAAGGTACTCATTATACCCCACTGTGGACTCATTTACCCCACTGTAGACTCATTCTGCCCCACTGTGGACTCATTCTGTCCCACTATAGACTCATTCTACCCCACTGTGGACTCATTCTGCCCCACTGTGGACTCATTCTGCCCCACTGTGGACTCATTCTGCCCCACTGTGGACTCATTCTGCCCCACTGTGGACTCATTCTACCCCACTGTGGACTCATTCTACCCCACTGT